ATATATATATATATATATATATATATATATATATATATATGTGTGTGTGTGTGTATGATATTTTAGGATATTTTGTTTTATCAATTTGATGAAAAAAACCCCTTCGCCCTTTACCAATTGTGTTTGTCATCACCGTTCGTCAAACCTCCTCCCCCTTCTCTCTCTTTCCCCTTCTCTTCCCCTCTTCTTCCTCGTTGCTTCTATGCAACATCGCTCGTGAGCGATTGCCTTGTCCCCCTCTTCAATCGCTCAGTTGGTCATCCTCCGCACCACCCTGTTGACGAGCCCCCATCCCCATCACATCCAAGCGCTGCTCTCCTTCAACAACGGTTCCCGCCTTTCACTCGTTGAACCTCCTCTCCTGTTGGCTCTGCGTAGCATCGCCCGTAGGCGACTACCTTGTTACCCACCTTTGCTGCCTGTAGATGACAACCTTGTTCCCCTCCCTTGGCTAAGGCCGTAGCCATAGCAATCGCCTCGTTCCCCTCTCTCTTATGTCACCCAACTAGTCATCCTCCACGCCACCACCCACCACCTTACAAATGAGTACCCTATCTCAGCCTCATTCAGGTGCTCCTCTTCTTTGGCCATGGGTCGCACCTCTCCATTGCGGCCATCCTTCGCTCTACCCATCACTAGCGCCCTTTGTTGCCTACTTTCGCTCTACCCACCTCCGCTTTATCCACGCTGCAAAAGCAACATATATATGTATATATTCTTATTCCCATATAGGATCAACTTTAACCAAGGTTAAGAAGATTAAATTCTTGAATTTAATAGTACTTAGCAATGGTTACCATTGATGCAATGTCCATGAGAAGGAAGCCTACGACTCAATCTACGATTACTATTTGAGCTCCAACTACTGGTGATGAAACAACAGAAGCTTGGAAAATAATTTCAAACCATAATCTATCACAACTTTTTTCTTTCCATAATGGAGATCGAAGAAAATGCAAGTAATCGAGAGAGAACTCTCCATACCAAAAATATCAGACCTAAACAAACAGGAAGAAAGTCAACCAAGCACGTATCAACCATGACAGAACACAATGCAGAATACTAAAATGAAGTTAAGAAAAAGTTTGAGCAAACCAAGTCTTCACGTTAACACATACACGTGTAATTCAAACGTTGACATAAACACATCATGAAATCTATGGTATATCAAATGAAGTTGAAAAAGTCAAGCAAACCACGTCTTCACATTGGCTTGGCAAATCCATTTTCCGACATATGAGAGGAGAAATAATAAAACCTTTTGCAAACTTAAAATTATTGAAACATATATATCAGCTAACAAACCAGAGTGACACAAGCAAATTTATAATATTAGCAGAACATGTCATGACATTTCCCCTTTCCTATGTGCACCCAGCCGATCCTAGAAAAAGGCCCCATAAAGCTTCAACAAATCAAGGGAGCATGAACGAGGATAATATATCAAGTGTCTTTGTCTATGCATCTGGCTGAATCCACCTGATATACCATCATCATACATCCTCATTGCCAGCCGACTTAAAGACAATATATCAGTACATCTCTTCATTTGGCAACGTATTGAATAAGAAAAAAAATTAAGATGGGAAATTCTACCGAAATATGAACAGCAAACATGTTTTTTGGCCTAGGCTTCCAGTTTCAATAATGTCATTTTTTCCTCTGATTTTGATAGCATCTCGATCTTTTACAAAAAGCTAGTCAAGTCAAGACCAGCCAGTGGTAAATAAATAGTAATAAATTGTATTTAGGGGAGAAGGTTTCTTGGTTCCACTAATTGTGTCAAGGAAAAGAGAGCAAGAACTGGTGAAACACAAAAAGGTCCTGAAATATTTGTGCATAAACAATAAACAATTTTGAAGGTTTATAAAGAATTTATATCACATACAATGTGATATAAAAAGGCAAAAGAGAAAAAAGATGTGTTCTTGCATCAAAAATAAAAAAAGAAGAACAGCATATGTAAAAACAATTGTGTTTAAAACAAGTACGAACTTATAGGACAACCAAGAATGATTTCTATCGACACATTAGGGTAGCTTACTGTTGGTGACAACTAGAGTTGTTTCCAACGCAAACTGTCTGACCTAAAACAAACTACAGGATGGGCCTCAAAAGGGAAAGGACTTCACTGTAATGAAATTTTTAATGTTCTAAACCTAATCCCACACAAATAACCATACTATTTTCACGCATGTAGATAAAAAAAAAATGCCAAGAGCAACTTCATAAAAACAGAGGGCCTCCAACAACTAATTACACAATTACTTAAGCTACTCCTAGTACATTCACCACAATTAGTTAAGCTACTTCCACTGCCACTTCGAGAAGCACATCGATTCAACAAACATAAAACAAGACAAATTCCAATATATAGTCTCTCTTTCCTTCATTAGGATTAGTTTATGCTTTATACATTGGAAGAAAAATGAGGATTACAAGTTGAAGGCTTATAGGTTAAAGCAGAAGGTACACAAGTGAATGTGCTGTTCAGTGACAGAGAGAACAAGGTAGAATAGAAAAATGCAGCAGGCCTTACGCAGAGCTTTGGAGTAATTTGCATTTTGTGCAAGTCACAGAGCAGGGCATAATTCCAGGAATTATGTTCGGCAGGAGGTAAAGAGGGAGACGATTAGAATAAAGGATTGCGCAATAATAAACAAATGGAGATGCATTACTTCTTGCCCTAACCTAGTAGCAATCGTCCACATCTCTGCATGTCTAAATGGGCACTTGAAGGAAAATTGTTGATATCTGTCCATTGCCTCTTCTTGGTTCACTCGAGGCTTCCAAGAACACAGCATCAGATTCCTCTGACACTGTAGCTAATATTTATATGTCTCTTGTCTTCCTATAATATGCTGTCTAAAATGATTGATGAGTCAAGAACTCAATAACCATCCAACCCTCATCTGACCATTGGCATACATAAAATGATTGATGTCTAGGAGAATCTGAAACTACGTAACATGATTTAATTGGACATACAGTAAGCCACCATAGCAACCAACTCAAGGGCAAGAAATAGAATCGATTTAAACAGCCGCACACGATCCACTCAATAAAATGCTCAAAGAAGCAAGAAGCGGAGGACGATACCTTGGGACAGCCACCCGTATCCCCCGAGCGAAACATTGAGGATCGAGGTCATCAGAGCCGAGGCCGTCGCATCGGCATGAGCGACTCCACGCAGAAGCTCGCCTCCACGGGAGACCTTAAACGAAGAAACCGTTAGAGGAAGCAGAGCAAGAAGAGATCCAGGATCCAAGCCCATGTGGATGAAACGCTAACCGGTTTCTTATTGATATAGGTGATACCTGAGGAAACGAGCGGCGGGAGCGGGCCTCGGTTTAGGGAGGCAGAGAAGCGGAGGGCAGGCGCGAGGCCGCAACGGCTTGGGCGGCGCCCCACCCTGGAGCGACGCCGACCAGAGGACGGACCTAGCGGCGACAGCGGCCACGGCGAGAGGAAGAGACGGGAAAAGGCCGGCAGCGGGGGTTTTACAGACCACAAAAACCCTAAAAGTAGGAGCAAAATTTGTTATGCGAGTAACTGCCAGAGACTTAAATAATAATAATAATAATAATAATAATATTATTATTATTATTATTATTATTTATTTGTTGATTGCTAACCCACAGATTTCCCATTTCATCATTGATCGGATAAGAGAACGATGCAGGTTGATCTGTCTAAGTCTATCCTTCTGGTAACGTATTCCCGTGTATATCCATTGCAATTCTACATCTTCCTGACATAGTCGTCGTTTACGTTTCCAACACGACATGACATGAACGTGTCCGGAGAAATCATTTTAGTGATCAAAGTAGGTGATCGGTGGCTACATGCTATCCAAAATTATTTCCCCGTCCTTCCGGCTGGCGTCTGGACCGCAGCTGCTTTCATGCCAAGTTGACGATCGAGTAATGATGGAAGATATCCAATCATTCTTTTACTTTCTATGGCAAGTTGACATTTAAAAACAAACAGGATGACATAGAAAACTGTTCCATGGTGAAGATCCCGAGGAAAACGAATAGTGAAAGCCTCAAAACATTCGTGAGGAGACAAACACGATGTAAGATACTGAAATGGGATTGCAGCCACCGTCACGGAACGTCGACTGCCGGTCGCGTTCACTCACCTTTGTATCATTTCGTTGGTTGTGAAATATAATAGTTTCAATGATGGCATACTTTGAATGCTCGACTGTAGTCTGACCGACGACTGCAATCATTCTTCTGACGCGAGTGAAAGAGAGAGGGAGAGTTTATTTATCTGTCAATAACAAAGGAAATGATATTGATATAGAGGAGGTATTCCACAGGTAGCCCGATATCTCTCCCACCGCGTCAGACATGGGAATCAAGTTCATCTCTCCTTTGATCCTTCTCTCCCTCAGCTTTGCCTTCTTCCACTGCTCTCTTGCAACACATCCTTCTACCTTGGAAAGAGGTTCTTCTCTCTCCGTAGAGCAGCACGAGGAGGACGTTCTTACCTCACCGGACCGCGCCTTCTCTTGTGGCTTCCGCAAGGTAGGCACCAACGCCTACTGCTTCTCCATCTGGTTCACCAACTCCGAGGAGGACGCCGTCGTCTGGACCGCGAACCGCGACGCCCCCGTGAATGGCCGCGGCTCCAGGGTTTCTCTGCGTCGAGACGGCAAACTAGCCCTCACCGACGTCGACGGATCCACTGTGTGGGACACCAACACCAGCTACGCCGGAGTTTCGACTGCCGAACTCCTCGACACCGGCAACCTTGTCTTGAAGGACCGCGATGGTCATGTCCTTTGGCAAAGCTTCGATTCACCTACCGACACTTTGGTTCCTTGGCAGCCTCTGACCAAAGGAAAGCGGCTTGTATCACCGATTGCCAAGGGCGCTCGCAGATCGGGCTATTATACCCTCTACTTCGACAACGATAACGTCCTCAGGCTCATGTATGATGGACCGGAGATCTCCAGCATCTACTGGCCAAACCCGGACAGCACTTTGTACCAAAACGGAAGATCAAACTATAACAGCACGAGAATCGCATTTCTCGATGAGAAAGGGAACTTCCACTCAAGCGACGGGTTCAAAGCCCTAGCCTCCGATTTAGGTGTTGGCATCAGAAGGCGGCTGACCATGGATTACGATGGTAACCTCAGACTCTACAGCTTGAATGAGTCGACCGGGACGTGGTCCATCACCTGGGAAGCTCTGTCGCAGATCTGCAACGTGCATGGGCTATGCGGTAGGAACGGGATTTGCGAGTATTATCCGGGCATCCGGTGTTCATGTCCTCCGGGCTACGAGATGAGCGATCCCGCCGATTGGAACAGTGGCTGCAAGCCAAAGTTCAACCTCAGTTGCAGCAACCACACTCAGCAGCAGCTCCACTTCATCGAGCTCCAGGAGACGGACTACTATGGATTCGACATGAGCACCTACTCCACAATGATCTCGTTTGAAGCCTGCCGAAACGCATGCATCCAGAGTTGCGACTGCCGGGCTTTTGGCTACCGACTGGCGGGCAATGGGTTGTGTTTCCCGAAGAGTTCGCTGTTCAATGGCTACAAGTCTCCGAATTTTCCAGGTAGTATCTTTCTCAAAGTGCCTATAAGCGTAGTGTCCTCCTCGAGCTCCAATCAATCTGTGGTCACCTGCAATTCCGATGGTTCCACTGTCACAACGAGCTCTTCGCTTAGGTACGGGAACAACAGAAGCAACACCAAGTGGGTCTACCTCTACGGATTTGCTGCATCACTGGGAGCAGCAGAGTTTCTCTTCATCTTCGCAGGCTGGTGGTGCATTTTCCGGGGCCGAGATACAACCAAGTCAGTGGAGGAAGGTTACCGGATGATAAGCCGTCAGTTCAGGAGGTTCACGTACCGCGACCTCCGGGAGGCGACCGGCAAATTCAAGGAGGAGCTCGGCAGGGGAAGCTCAGGTGCGGTATACAGGGGAGTATTGGATGACAAGAGGGTGTTGGCGGTGAAGAAGCTGACGGACGTGATGGAGGGAGAAGAAGAATTCTGGGCCGAGGTAAGCGTGATCGGAAGAATCAACCACATGAATCTGGTCAGGATGTGGGGGTTCTGCTCCGAAGGCCAGCACAGGCTGCTGGTGTACGAGTACGTGGAGAATCAATCGCTGGACAAGTACCTGTTCGGCCGCGCCGACAGCGGCAGCTCGCTGGGATGGAACCAAAGGTTCAAGATCGCACTGGGGACGGCCAGAGGCCTCGCGTACCTCCACCATGAATGCTTGGAGTGGGTCATCCACTGCGACGTGAAGCCCGAAAACATCCTCCTGGACCGTGACTTCGAACCCAAGATCGCCGATTTCGGCCTGGCCAAGCTGTCGAAGCGGGACGGCCCGGGCTTCAACATCTCGCGGATGCGAGGAACGACGGGGTATATGGCGCCCGAATGGGCGCTGAGCTTTCCGATCACCGCCAAGGTCGACGTGTACAGCTACGGCGTCGTGCTTCTGGAGATACTGAAGGGGAGCCGGGTTTCGGACTGGGTGGAAGCGGACGGAACAGAGAAGAGCCTGAGGTCGCTGGTGGCCGAGCTGAAGGAGCAACTGGGCGGCAGCGACGAGTCATGGGTGAGAGATGTAGTGGATCACAGGTTGCGTGGGCAGTTCAATCATGAGCAGGCGACGGCCATGGTGAAGATTGCAGTGTCCTGCTTGGAGGAAGACCGCAGCAGAAGGTTGACCATGAATGAAATCGTCAAATTGCTGATAGCTTGTGGGGAGAAAGATGCTGATCGTATTTAAAGTATAACTTTAGAAAAAAATTAAATTATTATATTTTTTTCGTATCTTTTAAATAAATTAATTGATTAGAAATATTTTTTTTCTTTTATTTGATTTTATCTTTGATTAGTAATATCTTATTACTATTATTTGAGAAAGAGTTGCAATTGTATGTAATCTTTTTTTGTTTTTTGTTTTTTTCACACATCCAGCATGGTGATCCATATTAATGTTTTTGTTTCTTTATTCAAAGAAAATGATGCAAAGATATGTAGCTATGTGAATTGGTTTAAGATAATTAATTAGTTACTCCAATTTGAATTAGTTACATGTGCTCTGCTCGTTCGACCCGTCAACCCCATCGGAAGGCAGCCGTCGCACGATTGCATCGACCCAAGGAAAATGACTCCCGCAGTACATGACGACGTTTCTGTACGGTAATTTCAAGTGGGCTCGTTCCCGGAGAACCAAACAGGGGGCGAGGTGTTTTGTCGGCATCGTTCACCGGGTGCGTGTTTGTCTTGACGTGTTGCACTCGGAAGACCCCACGGCGTACCTCCTTGGGGGCGGACGCGCGGTGCTGCCCGGCGTAACAGCTGATGCCGCCCGACGCGCACCAACTGCTCTGGGAATTGCCTGACCGGGCCGTAGCACAATCTTTACCCAGATTAGGTGATGGATGTTTGTACCGAGTAAGAGGAAGTGAGATGATTGCCGGATGGGAGATGGTAATGCAACCCCTACAGGTTTGTCCTCTTTCATCTCGATGCAATCCTCTTCCCATTATAAGAAGGCAAACGTGATATTTCATACATAAGCTTGTTTGTCGTATAAAAATCCAGTTAATCTGATATTCTAGTTAGTTATTATGGTGCCCTAGTGGTAGGTGAAAATATATAGGACAAGAAACATGCTTGAAGCCAAGAATTTATCCAAGCAATTCTTGGTTGTGGAACATTTCCTCTTGACCTTTCGTCGTTAGTGAGTAATCATGCTTTGTTTATTGATTGGCAATGGTGGTGGAGTGAAGCATATTGTTAGTTGTGAGGCATCCGGATGCTTGGCCTTAATCTGACTGTAAAGCTGTACAACTGCCCCTCTTTGTAAGTCATAGCTAGCTAACATTTTGCAGCCCCAGTCATTGTGATGTCTCCTGGGATGTTTAGCAAGGACTTTGGCAGATGGTTAGGCAACCCCAGCAAGGTAAAATGCAAGAGTTTGTGATCCCAAGTGCAAAGGACATTTGATACCATAATTCATGAAAGAAGAGTATTTGACAACTTATATAACATGTAATGAGATGCTCAGAGCAGATACAAGAAGTGAAGTTTAGTTTACTCAAATGATATATTTGTGAATAATTCAATGAATATTCCCAGTAGAAGGAAAAGGGTTTGAAGATTCTTAAGGTTAATAGGAAAGAGAAAAAATATGGAAATTGATTATTCCAGTAAGCCATCCATTGCATTTCCTGAAATCGATAGTTGTCATTTGCTTTATTCTTTCAAAAGATATTTATTTTCATCTTCCTTCTAGGAATCACTGTCTCTCATCCTTTTTATCAAACACTAAACTTTCGCTATCACTTCGTTTGCAAGATTTATCCACTATGGTTGTGATTTCTGGAATGCTTTTGATAGAAGTGAATGAGATAAGGCAGCATTGGACAGCAAATTCAACAAGAACATCTTTCTTTGTTTCCATGTTTGCTGATAATTAGTTTGTTTCCCTAGTTGATGTGCAAGATATCAACAGAGCGGATGTTTTAGAAGCTATTGCACCAACCTCATGCTATCTCAATCACCATAGTATCACAAACTTAGTTGATTTTGTCGAAGTCGTACGACATTCTTGCGTGTCTGTTCGTAGAAGTCAGTCTTCTTGAAACCTTCGATGATCCTTTAGGACCTACAAAAGGAAAAAACGGGTTAGAGAAAGCGTTTCACTCGGGATTCACAAGCAGCTATTTTAGCAAACACTTTATAGGCAATGCAAATTACAAACATAGATTTCACAAGTTCTAAACGGTCGTACAACAAAGGGTTCAAAATAGTCCACTACAGACTGAAATCCTCACAAGTACTCACATGACAGAACCTTCATTTACAAGCCTAAAACGGCCATCAAAGCCAACAAAAATTGAGCTGCTCAGCCTACTGTCAGCCCTCTACATGCTGTTGAAAGCATGAACAAAACCAAAAGACATGAATATACATAAGCATTACATCAAACACTCCATTTACAACTTTATCTGTGATAGTAGTATGTATCACATTAAATTTGCTAATAATCTCAGTGATTGTGACAGCCTCATTCTTCTTTATCGAAGGTTCTTGTATTTATTCTTTTGAAATATCAACAATATGTATTTAGGAAGTTGATGTGTGACTAGGCACTGGAAGCATGGTTTTTTCATCTGAATGCAGTAGAAATATATGACAATAGCAATTTTATGCTGTTTAGTCCAGTTTTTTGGGTCTTATTTTACCATTTGTGAACCATAAGAGAGTTGCAAGTATTCTAACAATACTCTTATTTTTTGGGTCTTATTTTACCATATGTATCTCAAAAATGAAACATTCCAAAACTTAGCTTATAGTTCTGAAAACTTATAATTGTAGATCTTTCCTAAAGGCTTAAGATGCTATGACATGATCAACTACTTATTCTGAAAACCATAGAATACCATATACACATGCCATGTAGTGCCCGGTCATGTAATATGTAGATTAACATCCTTACGACAAGCATAACCATGTTTATCTCTGATTTTTTCCCAAGATACAGTTTTTAGTTACAGAGTTTTCATTACAGCCTGAAACATAACACATGTTGGTTGCCTGTTTGTTCTTCCTTTTGCTGAAGGATATGAAGTGATCTCCATTTTCTTGTCACTCGTTACATGAGTTGATTTGGAGCCAGAGCTGAAGAACTCTGGAAACGTGGATTCTCTAAACGTTAGCCAAGTAGAACAAGCGCAGGAATCTACTGCAAAATACTTTTCTGACTCACATTGTCAGCTTATGTACTTTGACAATCAACCTTATATTGGCATATAATTTCAGCTCATCACCTGTGTGACAGTATACGTTAAGATGATGCATTTGCGACATGTACAGGAGATCGCCATTAAAAGTCTGGCTTCACACTGGGGGAACCACAACAAAGAAATGGAAAGGTCAAGAAAAAGGTTGGTTGTTTAGATGTAGTTGGTAAAATTTTGATTTCTAAATCTATATTTTCCTCATGCTTAGCAGCATAGTCAAGTTATATCCATGCATTTATTGTGCCTTTTTTTATTTCGGGAACATTTGGTGTCTTGCAACTGGAAATGTTTACAGAGATAGTCGAGACAAGAACAAGTATTGTAAATAGCAATTGCAGATGCAGTTATTTTGATTTTCTGCATCTATTTGGATCGACGAGATGATGAGCGATTCAAGAAGGAAACAATGGAATGCATGAACGAAGAGGAGGATTACCTATGATGAGGCAACACATGAGAGGGGGATATCGAAAGCCTGCCTTTGACTTGCATGCCAGCTTATAATTACATGTAATATTCCCTGAATTGTAAATTCATTTGCAGTCGCATGTACATATGATAAAAGTGATTTACTTTCAATGGAGAAAGGTGCTGTGAGTTCGATCAAATGCCTAATTCAGGAGTCAACTCTGACTTTGAAGGTAGCTTTTAGCGATCAATCCATTCTATAAATGTGTGTGTGTGTGTGTTTGTGAATGAAATTTAATTTGATGTGCATATGCTCTACCTTTTTATTTAAGCTGCTGTATATCTAAGCTGCATAAAAGATGTATAGAAACCAGTAAAAAATACGTACATGATTGTAACTTTGTTCGCCGACTTAAGTCGCGAGTGGCACACGTGGCGTATTCGTGAGGAGGATGGGTGGGGAGAGGAGCGTGCAGGTAGGTGTCAGCCACATCCTCCCAAGTCGAAGCATTTTTCACGGTTGTCGTTAAACCAGATCAACCATGCCCACGTAGCATGGCTTAAGCGGCGCATCTGGGAGAAATTACAGCCTCACATTCTGTGGGGCCCATGGTCATCTCCTACGTCGTGCTCGAACTAGACAGGTACGGTGGTGGGTAGATTCGACGGGTAGGCAAAAAAAGTGTTGCTGGTAAAATTCCCCACATAAATATAATAAGTAAAGGAATAAACAAATTCCGCCTTCGCTTTTGCCGCGTCATCAGCCTTTTTGGGGGTTCTCCCTTACCCTCTTCGTCTTCGTCGTCGTCGAGAATAGCCGAAGGGTGAGGAAAGGAAAGGACCCGATTTTGGCGGCCAAACAGACGGCGTGAACGGAAGTAAGAGGCAGCCGTAACGCACTGCTGGTTCCGCTGCTGTCGTTCTCTCACTGTCTCTCTCTCTCAAACCCTTCCCAACTCCAATTCTAGGGCTTCTCTCCTTTCCTCGATTCGATTCTTCCTCTCTTCCTTGCTGCTGTCAGATCTCCCTCGGATCTCCGTCGATTGCCTTCCTCTTGATCCGTGCTTCATTAGGTGAGAGGAATCAATTAGGTCGCGAGGACAAAAAGGGGCGATGGGAAAGAATTGCAAATCAGGGTCGCACCGGCTGTTCAAAGCGAAGGCGAAGAACCGGGTGGACGACCTCCAGGGGATGTTCAATGATCTTCAGTCCGCCCGCAAAGAGAGCCGCATCGCCGACATAGCCGTCCTCGAGGAGCAGGTCCATCAGATGCTCCGCGAGTGGAGGGCCGAGCTCAACGAGGTCTCCCCGGCTTGCTCCTTGCAAGTGAGTTCGCCTGACGATCTGGATCGTCGAATCCTTTTGTTCTATGTTCTTCTTTTCTGGTGTTTGATCGATCGGTTTTGAGGCAGGGGAACGTCAAGGAATCATCGGATCTGTTCTCAGAGACCCTACGGCTGTTGCAACTGAGCGAGGAGGAGGATGACGCCACGAGCAAGCCAGCTGAGCTGGCACTCAGGAGCACTCCAAAGCCTGAGGAGTTGGATGTGTCCAAACCTGGTGTGGGGTACATCCAAGGCAGAGAAAATGCTGCCTTTCAAGATGTGAGTGTGGCTCCCATTCATATTGTTTAACTTCGATACATGTGATTCTCTTTTGCTTCTCTGGGAATGAGTGGTAATATGGTGTTCTGTCAGTTATATCTTTCGAGGTCAATTTTCTTTCCAACCTCCTATTGAAGTGTTGTGGTCCAGTTCTATGTCAAATGGAGATCTAAAAGGAAAAGAAGCTGTTATTGCACTAGATCAATATCAAGATGTTACAAACTTGCATGAAAATGTAATGACTTTCATTGTGTTTCAACGTTCTATTAGGTGTCGTGAAGTTTTCAGCAAAAACTTACGGAGAAGTTTGCTAGAAATTGTCATGAAGTTGAATTTTGCAAGTAATCAAAGAATGTATATTTCTGAAGAAAGCATAAAAGGAAATAACATTACTGACATCATGTAGTATTAGCTCATTAACCATAAGCCATTCATCTTTGGTAGCTGAACATATATAAAAGTTTAGTTGGTATTTGGGGTTATTAGATGGTGGTTTTTTCCTTGTGTTGGATAACTTGCTATTAGGTAAGTTATTCAGTCTAAGTAATTGAGCCAGACATTTAATTGGTTCAAGAATACTGGTATTGGAAATTGTTTTTTTTCTTTACTATTTGGTGCTTTTATTGTTTTGATTCTTGAGTAGGAATGACTTTAAATTTTATTTGCCTTTCTGGTTTATGTCTGAGATTGGTCCCCCATTGTCTGCATCATGGATATATTGTAATTCTGGAGGCAGAAGCATCATGATTCGAGCAATCCAAATCATGTTTCCAAGTGGAATTGCTGAATCCCAATACCCAATCTTCTAGGCATGGTGGATGGTCATCGGCTAAAAAAAAAGAAGATTTTGATTGATCCCTTCAGAATTGGAGCTCTCAATGTCTGGCTATGCGCAGTTAATTGTTGAGTATCTAGTGAATGACCAATCCTTATCTGCTTCATCCAGATGCTTACTAGTGATCGAGTACCATCAATTAAATATAATTTAATCATTTCAAACCTTAATAAACCATTTCTAAGATTTCAAAACCATGTATTAAAAATAGGATTATGATAAAATTTCTTACATAATCAGTTCAAAGAAATAAATTAGATCGTTGCTTATACTAAACTGAAACATCAACCAAGCACTTGAAAAAATAATAGGACTTTGCAACAAATAAATCCTAAAGTTCCAACATCAAAGAACCAATCATCAAAATAATATTGAAAGCGCATATACAAAAATTCATCACCTCGAACAAAAGATCCAAATATATGTGTAAAATTTCAGCAAAGCATAGATGAAATATCCATCCCAAGCGCCTCAGCCTGAACTCCTCAGAGCCATTCTTGCACTATCTCAAATTGCAGCCTATAGTGCAGAATGTTCTGAGAATAACCATTCAAGAAATTTTCACAATAAAGAAGAGAAAGGTCTTGCTACAGCATTCTAACAAGGTAGGAGGAAGAAGCTTTTAGTTGTGGAATGTACAAGTTTATTTCGATAACAGATTTTTGGAGAAAGGTAACAAAAGGAGAGAGATGTGGATCTGGGACTTGAACGAATGGAGATTTTCCAGGTACCTTCAATTTTTAATGAATGTCTAGAGAAGGGATTTGCCCCCACTATCCATCTGCTACTTAATTGCTCATTTGATAATATTGGTTTTGGGTCATTTTGGATCCCTTGTTCAGGTCTGTTTGGACCTGAACTTCACACATACCCTAACCAAGTGACCTTGGTACCATGAAGGGTCTAGTTTGGGCACAGTTAAGAACAACATCACTATAATTAAAAAAGAGGAAACATCCAAATTTTGTTCTCATACCAATGAAACTGAGAGTACTGAATCAATTTTCTGAAAATGTTAGTCAATGCATTCTGCATATGTTTATCATCCAACATTTGTTGTTGTTCGTTTCACTACGTTGAGCATGTTTGGAACTTTTGAAGAATATACATGTGAGAGAAGCTGTGTAATTTTTTATTAACCTTGGTGTTTGCTTATGTATAAATCTTTGATATTCAGGCTATTACGTATTTTCTTTGGCTTATGCTTTTACAATGTACTCGTTTGATTGTAAGTTACATGGTGATTACTTTCGAGTTCTGGGAACTACTTGCTAATGTAAGCGTGTACATTCGGACCATCATGGACCTTGCATTGGTAGAAGCCTCAAGCACCATGACAGCTCTTTTATTGGTTACTATAATAGTGGTTAAAAGCCACCAGCCACGCACAAGTGTCCTGAATTACAGACAATATCCTTAATCTATTCTCACTGAATGATATCATAACTATCCAAATGCATATTGAGTTAAAATTGCTTCTGCGCTACTATGATGCTCCTTGTCCCCCAGGTTTGCAGTTTGTTTGTAGACTTGTATAAGATAAATAGTGATTTTGAAGGCTACAAGTAATATTGACAGAGCTTCACAATTCACAAGTGAATATCACTAGCATATCGTTACTTTCATTTTGATGCCAATTTCCTATCCAACTATCCAAGACAAATTTACACATGAAAAGCTTGCTGATTGGCTGGAAAAATATAATCTTAAGAGACAAGTTAGCAACCTAGAAACTATCCAATATATGAAAACATGCACAGAAGCGTGAAGAAATGGCAAATTCTGCTGCAACTATCTGTTATAGACTTGTAGTTTCGATGGTACATTTTGGACATTCTCCCTACAGACTATAAATTATATTAGTTGCCATTAACAACAAAACACTTATTGGTTTCCATCAAATCACGTATCATCTCCTGTGGGCTGTATATCTTATAGAAAAACCTGAGCAGTTTGAACTTTCATTTTCAGTTCTTAAAGTTCACATGTGAGCTATAACATGAAATTAATAGTGTACAGATGTTAAAGATGGATTTGTGTCTTGTGAAATGTCAATAATTCTAAATGTTAAAGATGCAACTTCCATATAGTTTAATTTTATTGTGTGTTAAATTCACATAAAGTAACAAGTTTAAGGGTACATCTGTTCAAGTTTTGTAAATGCCACAGGGTGTCAGACTATTGTGGCACTATCATAATTTAGCACAGATATCATTGTATAACCTGGGAAGTGAGATTTATTGCTTCTTTTAATTGGTGTTTGTGTCTGTCTTGTGGTGATTTGCTTAGTTGCTATTCATTAAATATTAATTTCTGATAGTTAAGTTCCATGTGAAACTATGTCAATTTGTCTCTTCTTTCAGGATTATTATGTGAATCAGGAAATATCAGGGCATGAGTTCCCACAAGTTTACCAATATGAAAGCAACCTTCCTATTGGACCACATGATGTTGTATTGAATTGCTTGGAGGGGACAACTTATTTGGATTATCAGCTGTACAATTTGCAACAGGAAATGGCTGATCATCTGTATGACAACATTTCAGTAGAGCATGATGGGGCTGATGTTTTTCCACATATGTCAGACTTACTGCCAACTATATGTCCTCCGCCATCTGCATTTTTAAGACCAAAGTGTGCACTTTGGGACTGTCCACGTCCTGCTCAGGGGTCAGAATGGTGCCAAGATTACTGTAGCAGCTTTCATGCTAACCTAGCAGTAAGTGAAGGCCCTCCTGGTATGACACCAGTGCTGCGTCCCGGAGGTATTGATCTGAAGGATGGGCCACTTTTTGCTGCTCTTAATGCAAGGACAGAAGGAAAAAACGTTGGTATTCCAGTATGTGAAGGTGCTGCAACTGCAAAGTCTCCCTGGAACGCCCCAGGTATGTTTGTACTACTACAGAAGCATTCATATTTTTCTTCATTGCTTCATTCTTTTACTGCTATGATAACCACCATACAAAGAATTTGGTTCAGACGAACCAACCAACTCCTGGTAGTTTGGTTGAAGGTTCTTTTTCTTTTCTTGACTCCAAGGGTGTCACATCTTCTTACTATGATACAGAGTTGTTTGATCTTTCCGTTCTCGAAGGAGAATCACTTAGAGAATGGCTCTTCTTTGACAAGCCAAGGAGGGCATTTGAGAGTGGGAATCGGAAGCAAAGGTCATTGCCAGATTATTGTGGTCGTGGTTGGCATGAATCCAGGAAGCAGATTTTGAAAGAATATGGAGGTTTTAAAAGGTCCTATTACATGGATCCGCAACCTCTGAACAACTTCGAGTGGCATATGTATGAATATGAAATCAACAACTGTGATGCCTTTGCCTTGTACAGGCTAGAATTTAAGCTTGTTGATCCAAAGAAAGGTGCCAAAGCAAAATTGACTAGCAATCCACTTGCTGATTTTCAACAGCAGATGGTAAAGCTCAACTCGAACAAGTCCATGGACAACAAGAAGATTACCAAGAACAAGACAAAAGTAAATCAGGATACTGTTGGAAATAGTTATTCAACTTCAGTAGTGGCAAATCAACAGGAAACTACAGCAAGTGTGTTTCATGCTTCTGAGCAGGTGGATTCGTCGAACAAGAATTCTGCTTGTGGGCCCAGTCACCAATATGTTTATTCAATTGGGAGCTTCAATGATGATTATATAACGTAAGTAATGCAATCATGGGCAGCTGCAGATACTGCAGCATGAATTTCATAATCAGAGACTTGTGACTCATCTCTCTGAACTGATTTTATGTTATCTAAGGGCATTCTTTTCTGTCCTTGGTCTAATTATCCACAAGGTTATGCAATCAAATCTGATACTGTTATTTGGGGTCAGCATGCGCGGCCATCACCTTAGAACAAGCAGCTGCATTTTGAAGGCTAGACTTTTCCAAATAACGATGACATTTGAACGGTAATTGATGTAGAGTGGCTTGACTGTAATGATTCTAAAAGATAGCTGTGCCTGTTTACCGGTTGGCACACATCTCATGCCACAATCGTACAGGTGCAGAAAAAATTATGGAACCTTTGTGTCTATACTTGTATATATGGAGAGTTGAAAAAACAAGGACCTCTATTTAAGGCAATTTAGCCAGTTCAACTACAAATCCATACTTGTGCCAGTCTTTCTATCAAGGTTTTTACAAAATATCGATAGTTGTGGAATCCGCACCTGTGTTTGATGGTGGCCAATTATATTCTCTGGTTATCTTCTGCCTTCAAAAGCTGATGTTATTGATATCCTTGTTAATGGTGGATGAAAGATGTATATGCACTTTTTATTTTGCGATGAGATTAAATATATAGAATTCAAGCAGATGTAGAGCCAGCATTTTATTGTTGGTTGATGCAACTTAATACTGCATTTCTCCGCATTTAACATTGTCAATGCTTGTGGTTAATTCCTCCTCTTTGTGGCCGTAAGTGCCTCTACTAAGGGATTTCAGTTGATCCATCGACTGAAAGTTGTGTGAGGAAGGCAGAAAATATGCCATCTACTGCTACTCTCCGTGTGATGGCAACTGTAGACATAGGCTAATGTTTTTAGGGATCACAGAGGTAATATCATTGTTGCAGGGATCACAGTGGTGTCATATCAGTGTTGCTCACATCAAGCAGTGTATTATGGAATCCACGAGGGATATATATATATATATATATATATATATCTTTGGAGGGAGGCTTCTATCTATCTATCTATCTATCTATCTATTCTATTCTTTTGTCTAAACAAAACATGTAGAATGGCACCGTGTTGAGAGACTTAATATATAATATAAATAAATATTCTAATTGATTTAGAAATAATAGAATATTTTTTATATGAGAAAGTCTATACAAAAATATTGTAATTGAACTGATTCGCCTTATCGATTATCTAATGCAAAACTGAATGTCTTGAGATATTTTCTGGATAAGGAAAAACAAAATTAGAGGCTCGAATGAAAAAAAAATATAAGTTTTTAAAGGAAATTCGCCCAAAATAATTTCGAGGGGTATGTATGTAATATTTCCGACAAAGGTAAACCGCCATCGAATCGCACCGTCCCGATAAGCGATGCTTAATAACATGACTCTCCCCCGAGCGGGCCCTCCCTGTGAACCCAATCGCAGCACCTCGCCCTCGCCGTCCCTTCTTGCAAGCGAAGCCTGCTGTTGTTTCTCGCGTTCTAATCCTTCCTTCTTCCTCCCATTCCATGCCAATAGAGAGGTAGGGAGAGCGAGGAATCGGAGATGGGGAAAGAGCAAGAAGAGGAGCAGAGGAAGAAGCGGGTGGAGTCGCTGGGATGGCTGACGGAGTCGTCGGTGATGCCGAAGAAGCACAAGGCCATCGAGGGCGTCGGAGCCTCCTCCATTGTCGAGCTCAAGGCTCAGCTGTACCGTTCCCAGGAGGAGGCTCGCAAGGCCAAGGAGGCAGTCCCCGACGCAGAGTTCCTTCGCGCCAAGAAAAAGCCCCTCCCCTCCGACCTCTTCACTCACAAGAACGCCGGCGTCGAGAGCCGCGCCAACAAGTAAGCGTGCCTCCATCCCGTTGGATCTCCGGGCTTTCTTTCTTTTCGATGCCTGCCTTGTTAATTTTGGATTCATTAGGGCAAGATTGACATGTCCCTATTTTTTAGACGAATCAGAATATTGGTTGCTTGTGGGTTCGAGAACCCTAAGGCCTCTTCTTAGGATTAGTTGTGCCCTCTATACTTTCAGTTGTCAAAAGATTAATCTAAATCACGTACCTAGCACATCAGAACCTGCTGTATGATTAAACCCTAAGCCTATAGATCATGAGTGTCGATCGCAGTGCGAGGATGGTCCAATGCTCTTCCTCAGACATTCTTTTAGTTCTTTTAGTTCGTTTACATGAAATACGGATATGTATGTCATGTTAAAATGAACATGTGGATATGAACATGCTGCTTTAACATGAGAATGACAATATGGTACTCATTACCGAACCCAGTAATGATAATACACAAGAATTCAGATTATAAAAATGAAATTTTGGGTTCAAAAACAGCATTGAGCATTGTGTTGAGTCCATCTTTTACATAAGAAAAATGGACTGCTAGTTTAAGACATCTGTTGGACACGCATGTGAATTAGTACCTTCCAACAATCTTTTGGCACACCCATATCACTGCTCCTTTTGTTTGCTTCACAACGGAGATAGGAATGATTTGCTTAAATATTAAACCTAGGTAAATATAAAGGTGAAACTAGTAGTAGGCACAGTGCATATTGGGCAAGATGATTCATACCATATTTTTTTCCTGCTTAGAATGAACAAAGGAAGATCATAAGAGCAATACTCGGTATGGTGTGTGATCGTAAAATGTTTATTGATGTACTGAACGAAAAGCTAAAGGATTCTTTAATTAACAAGTTCCAGTTCAGTTGCTTGAGTAGCAAGGTGGGTAGACCAGGATTCAGAACTCAATTGATGCCATTAGTATGACTATGCCTACAGTCATCCTGGTATGACTAGTCTAGTGCAGTATATAAAATGACATGTTCCTTTTTATAAGACATCACAAACCTAACTTCTACTGTATCATGATACCAGGGCAATGAAATTGTGAGTTTTTAGAGCCATTAACAAATTTGTTAAATCATTTATTAATTTATGGAGAACATCTTATACTTTATATCATGGTGATAGTGTGAGAGGGATGAAAAAGCACCAAAAACACAATTTGTTGAGTATATGGTTGGTTAACCTTCATCTGCGATTAAACTGACGATCTAACTTTGATTGTTTAACCTTTATCATTCTATAATTTGCAGTTGGTGTAGCTCTATGTTTGAATATTAGGAGTAAGTTCGCTGTTAAGGTTGTCTTAGTTTATGAATTATGAGCTCGATTTAATTTTGCTTAAATGCTTGGGGAAACGATCTTTGGAAATTGATTTTGTCGTATCTGTTCCACTAATTTATTTTCTAATCTTTAATAATGGGGGAAGGTAGCAAACTGGTCTCCATGATCACACATTTTAGCTAGATAGATGGACATGACAATGATGCTTCATTTGAAAGTTGCCAAAGGAGAAGAATAGTAAGAAAATGCACTGTGCACAGTTTGAGTCACCTATATCTTTTAAACTGAAAATAGTTCTTTCCACTAAGGATTTCAGGCAAATGATCTGATTTATTAATTTTTAGCAAAAAAATTGAAAAGAAACAAAAAAAAACACCTTTACATAAAGGAGACTCCATTGTTACAAAAAGCACATGTGATATTGTCACCATTTAATGTAGGAACTTGTCTTGTAATTTACTGAAGTTACAGCATTAGGAAATTGATGACATTGTCTCCGAAATGGCTTTTAAGAGATACTAGTCTGAATATATTTAGCTTATGGAGGAAAGCCATGCACCGCTAATCTGAACAAAGCTGTACATAATAATCTTTATTTTTGACATATGCAGAAGTAAACAGCAAAGGAAATAGATACTCACTTCGGAGGGAGGCAGAGATTGATCATCAGCGGAAACTTTTTTGTTTGTATCTTATAGAACTTTAGTTGTATTTCTGGTTGTCAATTATAATTCTGGAGCCTTTAAATTCTAAGAATCTAGAGTGAGAAAATGGACCAAACAGATTCCAAACCTGAATTCAGATTGAAGCTGAACTTAGACTGAGGCAGAGGCGTAACTTTACCTAGATCACTAACACCAGATGCGACCAATTAGATACATTATCAACAATAAGTGCCATGCTTTGTCATGCTTATCCTGTTTCTTGTGAAAATTTATTAGGATGAGATAAATATACCAACTGGAAAGGATCACATGTGCTTGGCATGTTAACCACTTTTGACTGGCATGCACTATTTCAGGCTGCTACCATGAGGCAAGGAACGACCGGTGTGTGTCTAGGAAAGTGCAAGAGTATACTAAGCTGACTCAGAAATATGTTCTTCTATAGATGGCCCATGCTTATGCTGGAATCATTTGATATTAATTTAAGGGGAGTGTGGCAAAACAAAAAACCTTTCTTATTAGCTCGTCAATAGTTCTGTTGGCATCTCCAAATCATGAGGCCAATGCTAGAATCATGATTGTTAAAGAGTTTCTTTGTATGCTAATGGCGTTCTAACTCGAGATGTCTTCTTTTAGGTTTGATCCGATGAGACCAAGTGATTGCTATTTTTTTCAGACACAACGTATTCATCTTATTTTTTTCTGTAATGTTAACTAAACATTTAGTAGACTAACATAATTTTTGGTGTATGATTTTGATTGTGTAATTTAATCACTTCAAACTATGCTTGCACATCTCTCCTTTAAATGTTATCCAGCAATGAAGATGATATTTTGTTTCTGTTTAGTCTGATGAGACCAAGTGATTGCTATTTTTTTTAGACACAAAGTATTCATCTTATTTTTTCTGTAATGGTCACGAAGCAATTAGTAGACTAGCATATTTTTGGTGTATGATTTTGATTGTGTAACTTAATCAATTCAAACTATGCTTGCACATCTCTCCTTTGAATGTTGTCCAGCAATGAAGATGATATATTGTTTCTGTTTGGTTATGCCCAATGAAAGTTTAACCTTGTTTCTTGTTCTTTTGGCAGAGAAATTGTTGATAATTTCTTCTGATCTAAAATTTTGTTAAATTATTAATGGTTTAGTTATTGTGATAATCCAGAGACAAGCTGGAGCTGAAAGCTATGGAAGATGGCTCAGCTGTTTATTCAGCTTTAGAGAAGAAGGCTGAACTGTACGAGAAACTAGCTAGAGGTGAGCTCCCTGATGAAGAGGAGAATGAGAAGTATTGTGTTGACTTTTTCCACAAGACCCTCGAGCAAGATGAACCCCAACAGCCAGAAGACCATGACACTCATAATGGTGTAACACCAGAAAAGGAAGATGGTAATGATGATGAATTGCTGCTAAATGGAAGGCCATTTGGTCTTGGTCGTACCAGTGGCAATGTGGACAAGGATGAGCATAAACGCTTTGTAAGGTATGTTCAGCAGTAACCATTATTCTTTAGTGATATCTTGTCAATCTTTAGTTGACGAAGCATTGGATTCTTGGTTCTGGTAACATACTTTTATGAACCCCAGTACATACATAGAGAAATAAGTAGCAAGGTTTGCACAAACAATTTAAGGGATGGACTTATGTTTGATGGAACATACTGTAAATAAGTTCTATTTTAACAAGTTAGGTTGATGAATCCTGTGATCCACAAGGGTTACTCTTATCTGCATTAAAAAAGAAAGTTAAGAATGCACTTTATAATCAGCAGATTCCTTCAGATACAGCTCTTAGCATGATAGCAATACCTCCCAGGCAAAGTATGTCACCTTTCTTTGTAACAGTGAAATAATTTACTCTATGGTGCTCTAATTTGTTCATCATCTTAATTTGTTTAAAATCTGTCAAGAGTGCCTATATGTCAGTGGTACTAACATAATATTTAGATGTGTGACATTCCTAGTTGCTGATGGGCTGCACGCATCATTTTAGTCAGTGAAATGATTTATATTTGTCTGCATATTATGATATAGTTAGTGAAATGATATATTTAGTGAAATGATATTCCCTAGTTCCAGATGGACGGAACCACATTTATGTAGTTAGAGAAATCGAAATCATTTATGCACCATATGTTGCTTTATTTGTCTTGTGCACTAATTGTGCTGTGCTTAAATGGCCATCAGGGAAATCCATGAGGAGGCAAGCCAGGCAAGAGCAAAGGCAACAACACTAAAGTTGCGTCGGCAGGAGCAGGAAGCTTCACGTCGTGAGAAACTTAGGCAGGCTTATCTCAGGAAACAGCTGGAAAAATTGACCGCTGCCAAACAAATGGCCACGAGTGAGAATTGCTCGCAACCTGTGAATGCTGAGGTTTCTCAGAAATAGATGGATGCCTGTGTTCTTGTACCTACCTGTTCCAATGTCTTCATGGAAAGTTTATGCTGTACAACTTCATTAAAGATGATTATACTTTAAAATTGGTTAAATAGATTCCTCAGAAGCATGAATGGTGTTTCTTAATAATTGCCGTCTTGGAATCTGTTGGTTGAACAATGTATGGGATATGCTATCAGAATTTGTTGCATGTACTCTATGGTGTAAAGGCTCTCTGATAGTTCGGAATTCGTCAAATATAGTCCTCGGAACCATGAAACTGAAACATATTATGGTCAAAAAGATTTGCATGCGCAACGGATGGAAGTCGTCCATTCCTTGTGCAGCATTTTGCATCAAGTGAGTCTCCTCAGATATCACTACTTCAATGTTTTATGTGGATGTACATCTTACATTTTTTTTATGCTCACTTATAATCTGAATACCATTCCTCAAAGTCGAATCCATGATAACCAAATATCGATTGGCAAAATCCTTGGTTAAGTGGTACTGCTTTCTCTGATGTCCTTTCTTGCAGCACTTCCAATTTACTCTGGAAATTTTTGCTAATTCATATATATATATATATATATATATGTATATATATATATGTATATATATGTATATATATATATATATACATATATATATATATATATATATATGTATATATATGTATATATATATACATATATATATAT